CATTGAAAATTTGCTAATCACAAGGTGAAGATACAGAAAAGAGGCCAATTTTTTTACTGAAACAATGATAGATACTTTCACAAGTCGCCAGTGATAAATATTAAATATGCAACATAAATTTACAGGAAATTGGATAATTGTAAATTACCATCATATACATATTTATTCAAAAGCTTATAATGCAGATTTTCTGAAGCAACAACAAAACTCTAGGTATCACCAAAAGATAATCACAAAATTTTAGTAGTGAGGCAACCTAACCGTTAGGCATAAAAGAATATAAATTCCCCATCAGTTAGCAACTACACAAATTATTGTTAGTTGTCTCAGTTTGGAAAATTAGAGACTCAAACAAAATTACCTGTTAATTGCATATGCTTCTTCTAAAATGAGACTTTCTCCACACCACTTTCATGAAAAAAAAAATGTATATACACCTTCGCGAAAAGAAGAAGAAAAAGTAAATTCAGCCAGGGAAAAGAGTACGAATTGTGTGATCAAGCCTGCACGCACAAAATAAGAACGATTAATTATTTGGCACAACACAAGTACAGAATTTTTTGGCAAGGAGATTGAAGCTGAAAAAGGGAATAAACCTGAAGATGAAATCCACCTCACTTGATCAGACACTTTTTACTCTTTATCCAAAAGCAGCTTCGTATTGAAGAATAAAACACAGGTACAAGGGCTAACTCAAGCTTAAAAACTGTACAGTTTCTATACAAAAGGATGAAGTTTTTAACGGTTGATGGCTTCCATTGCAAACCGAACAAGCCGTAATAGTTCCTCAATGTCATGGAAATTAAAATGAAGCGCATTTTTCAGTGAGTTGAAACTCTCTTTATTCGAGGATTCACAAAGATTTGCAGTAGCGGCTGTAAATGCAATTCTTGATTTCCTCGAGGCTTCCATTGCAAAGTTAACGTCTTGTGCCTGCAAAACAAGAAATGCGTAAAAGAAAAAAATTTACTACTCTTCGCAACCATCTATCTCATATCCCGATCATGGGATCAATTACAAATATAACCTTGAGATTTGATCGAGTTGAATTACCAAAAAGGAAAAGGAAAAGGAAATAAAATGAAAAATCCTTTTCACAATTAAAAAGGAAATAAAATGAAAAATCCTTTTCACAATTAATAACACCTTGATGTATTTGACATATTGCGACTAAAAAATGGTTTCTTAAGGCGTGCTTGGATATAAAAATTTTCCTTCCATACTCAATCCAACTCAAAATCTAACTCAACTTCAACTCAACCTCACTATCCTCAATATTATCAATATAATTAAATAATACCAATCAATTTCATCTACTCACATAATTTTAACTAACCATCACTTCACATCACTTCCCTCCTACTGTTACATCAAATCAACTTTAATTATTATTTCGCATATGTCATTTTAATATAAACTCAAAATCCCACTAACAATTAACCATACCACATTTTTTTTTCAAATTAACTCTGCCTAACCAAAAAATTTCATTTTGAACGGAAATTTATGTATCCAAGCACGCCCTTAGCATTTAGGCCAGACCTTAAAAGGGTAGTTTCATAATCTCTCACATTTCGATGTGGTAAATAATGGCACACTTACAAAATTTAGTATACGCAAAAAACCAGAACGATTGCGTGAAGTGATTATATGGCTTCCACAAACTTGAGGGGAACCAACAGCTTTGGCCATGGAAGGCTTTTCAGTAGTTATTTGGTGGTTTAAGTTATCAACATCAGATGCAGATGAAGAAGGAGATTCACCTAAAAGGAAATGATTAACAGTAATTAGATAAGTCAAATTTGATGAAGGTGATAAAAACTAAATTAGCCATGCAAATAAAATATTAAGGCAACCCCAAAATGTAATCAAACTAATAATCACTCACTTAAATACGTATGCCGCATAAATTCATTTCACAAAGAGATTAACTGCAATATATATAGAAAGTCGTGCTATTAATCAGTTATTCATTTGGTAACCAACTCTATACCAAAATATTTTTATCGTATCTTCAAAAAATCATTTAATATTATTATTTGTGATAATTAGCGAAATAAAAAGTCGATTCTTCATATTACTTACGAATTTCTGCAATTTCTTATTCTTTTGGTAATCAACCATGCAACAACAACAACAACAACCACAACATACCCAGTATATTCCCAACAGGTTGGGGTCTGGGGGGTCAGTTGTACGCAGACCTTACCCTTGTAATTATACAAGGAGGCTGTTTCCGTAGCGACCCAAGGTGCATTGCGCCGTTTGATATATTTTTTTTTTTCTAGAAACTTCACTAATAGAAGAAGAAGCACTAGAATTTAATTGAGCCATTTTGATCTAGTCCATTATTAGCACTATGCCAGGAGAATTGTCAACAATGACTCTTCCAGCTCCATTTGCAATGGACAAGTAATCAACCATGCAACATGTCTTCAAAAACGTGTATTAAATATATTTCATTTTTAGAAAATATTATTTGATTATGCACGATAAGATTCCAAATAACTCCATGACTATACATATCTAGAAATTGCAACCTCAAGAGGGCTTAGAACTTAGAAGGGACTATCCGTAAGTAAAATTCTGAAGCAGTTTAGTGCGATTTTGGAAGATCAATGGATTTTTCGCAATTATAAACCTTAGGAACGACATTCATCTAAATTTACCAGGAGGGACAATTTGCAAAGCGGATTGCAACTCATTTCGATCCCTACTTGCACTGTTATGTGATGAATAAACCACACGCAAGTAAGCAACTTCCATGCATTTATAGGCCAACGAAGCAGCAGCCATGTCCTTCGACTTTTCGTATTCATGCGCACAAAACCTATAAAAAGAAAAAGTTATCAATCAAATAAAACAGAAAACTTATCCAGTCACTCCATTTCCATTTAAAGATTAATAGCCATTTGAGAATTTTCCATCTGGTACAAATTGAATCAAAAAATAAAAATGCCAGTTCAATTAGACAAAAGAACACGAAAACTAAGCTCCAATTTAGGAAGCTACTTACTCGCATAGTTTGGCAGTGCTGCTATATATATGCATCGAGTGCATTAGATCATTATGTCTCGTGGCTTCACTGCTTACATTTTCCAACAAAGAGGCTCCATGAAGAAACTTGAGAGCAGCTTGGAAGTAAAATCCAATACTTTCAGTGGATCCATTATTCTGAAAGAGAGAGAGAGAGAGAGAGAGAGAGAATTTAATGAACATCGCAAAAACACAAAATCAATCAATCAACAACCCGTTAAAATCCCACTAAGTGGGGTCGGCTATACGGATCACGTGTTGTCATCGTGCTCGAAAAAGCACATATCCTCATTCAAATTTTAAATATTTTAAATCATTTTTTATTGTCTCATTCCAAGTTTTCTTCGGTCTACCCCTCCCCCTTTTTAATTTGCGTTCTTAATTCTAATGTTGCTACAAAAACCACAAAAAAAAAAAAGAAAAAAAAAACTCCATAATTGCCAAGAATGTAAACAAACCTTAAGACGATCGGCCAAGTGTTTTAGGTCCTTCGCCTCTTTTAAAGCACTGTTAGCTGCATGACTTGATGTATCCTTTCGAAGGGGACTAGGAGCATCAATATCCCGAACTTTAAGAGAATTGGGAGTTTTCAAGTTCTCAACTTTCGTTTTCTGATTTGGTCCCTTTTGTCCCTCACCATTATCTAAATCGAGTGCCGAACTTTTAACACCACTATCTTTCTGAGTTCCAAAAACAGGTTCAGTCGAAATTCTTGCTAAGGGTGGAAGTGAGCACGATTTTCCAGTTCCATTAGTCTCTGCTTGGTTGCTTCTCTTTGGTAATTTCTCCTTAGCTTGCTCTTGATGAATATTATTATTAAGCTTTTTCTCATGTGAAGAATTTTGAACTTTATCTCCAGAAGCACGAGCATTGTCTTTCGAATGTGAAGACAATTCTTTCCCGGTTTTTTTTTTCTTCAGTGATGGGTCTACATTTGCCTTTTCTTCAAATTGGCACTGCTCAGAAGAATTTTTTACACCTTCACCAGAAAGACCTCCATCTTTTTTCATATCCTTATTTTTACCTGACGTGACTTTATCGATGTTAGGATATCTTATAGGAGAAGAAGACACTGACTCAATAGGGGAACTTTTAACTTCCTGGCCACTGGCTTTGTTCTTATGGGAGCCGGATAAAATAGACGAGCTTGAATTAGCAGCAACTGTAGGATTTACAGAACCCATATCACTTTTCGAATAATCCACTGCCTGAATATTCCTCGAGAAATGCCCGTTATGATGATCATCTTTGTGACTAACTTTAGCTTTCTTTTCTTTCTGTTGGTCACTTTGTTCTTTTGCTTTCCTCTTCCTGATAGAATCCTTTTCATCACATTTTTCGGCTCCACTTGAATCTGTTTTGCTGTTATATTTATGCTTATCATCAGTCCTTGATGTTTTATTAGAAAAACTGGTAGATGGACAATCTGCTTTTGAGGAACTACCACGATTGTCAGAAGTCCAATGGTCATCATCTGCATGTAATTCCTCACTTTTTATTCTTTTAGAAGCTCTAGAACCTTCCGTATCAGCCTCTCGCTTCCTCTGCATTTTTAAGTTTGTACCTGTGGATGTTAGTACAAAACGAACATTAGAAAGTTCATAAAAACTGATTGATTACAA